GTGTCGGCGCATGTTCCCAGGAATGTGCTGTCCCCCCGGGTGTTTTTGCCAATTTTTTTTGGGTGGGGGGGGGGAGAGAGATGGGTTTTGTTTGTCCTCCTGATCTTTCACATCCCACCCCTACAGCGTCTGGCTGCCATTCCTGTCTCCGCTTTCTACAGTTTCCCGCAGAAGAAGCAATTTGACCATTTTTTGCGTTTCTGCTTTGCAAAGGTGAAGTATCCGTGATCGGCGGGGAACGTCTCCCGAGGTTTAAAGCAAACTGGAAGGAAGGGACCTTGGATGGTTTTTTTAACCACTCTAACACAGTGGCTGCAGATTGGGCTAAATCATGGTTTGTTGGAGAAGCCCAAACTTGGCTGCATTCACATTGTAGAAAACACAGTTTCTTACAACCTGCCAAGTGAAACAAACCAGATTAGGAGGTAGCATGATTACGGTGACCATATTTTCTTGGAAAAAGTAAAGTACCAGCCTGACAAAGGGTGAATCTAAAAGAGGTTCATAAGGATTAAAAAAAAATATGAATGGTTTCTGTTTATAACTTTGCTTGACGAAGGCAAATTCAAGAGCCAAGCCAAGAAAAACTTTACAAAACTGCATATTCAAAGAAAAAGACCTAAAATCAAACAGGATATAGAAATGTGTTTGAAAAAGACAATTCCATTTCCATATTTTTCACATGAATGGGAAAGACTGGGCCTTAAGTGGTACCAAGGGTACGGTAAAAGTTAAATGACCAAAATAGAGGATAGAAGTGAGTTTTTGAAAAATAGAACTAAAGGACAGCTTTTTGAAGTACAGGACTATCTATACACATACGTATAAATACAGGACGATAATAAAGGATGTATGGTCACTGTAAGCATGACGCATGAATTTAACCCTTGGATGGAGTCATATCTTGGGCTAAGCACAGGTTGATTGACTTGTTTGTCAAATAACCCATCGATGTGTGGGTTCACACAAACCCGTGCCATTTTACGGCGTACAGCAGTGTTTCTTGAACTTATTTTCTCTCAGGACTCCTTCCCATTTTTAAAAATTAGGGAGTTTTTGTTTGTATGGGTTATATGCATTGATATTTACTGTATTAGAAATTAAAATGGATGCATTCTAGAATATATCTGTATTGAATCATGTAAAAATAACAAAATTAAACCCCTTAGATATTAACACCAAATCTTTTTCATGAAAACAAAACCTATATTTTTTAACAAATAAAAATAATAATGAGAAGAGGGACATGGTTTTACATTTTTGCAAATATCTTCCCTATCTGGCAAATAATTTGGATTTCACGGGCCCCTGAGAGGGCCTTGGGGGACTCCCGGGGGTCCTTGGACCACACTTTAAGAAACACTGGCTTAGGGTAATGTGTGAATCCAGCATTTCTGGATCAGGGTGAAATTTTCACTTTGTAAACAAGTGATTTAATCAAAATGATATTTAAAAAGTCATCCTTGTTTCTTTCGAGCTTGTAGGAAGACACGACTTTGAAAGCCGCTGGGGATATCTTGAAGGAGTGGAGCCAGGAGTTGCAGAACCAGTGAAGCACCAGCCACGGGGCAGAGCAAAGGCAAGCTTTGGGGTGTCCCCCATCCTCCCCATTGGTAGTTGGCCAAGCCGGGGCAGCCCTGCCCATCCCCAGAAATTGGGGTCTTTAACGATGGTTTCCTTTTCCTTTCACTCTGCAGGGTTGGGGAGCCCCCCGGGCACATCTTCCAGATGTTCCAGCAAGTTGATGGGGACTGTCCCTCCACCAAGGGGAGGCAAATCCGTCTTGAAGAATATTGCACTGCTGCTGGGGCCACTGAAAACTCCCCCAGGGGCCCCGACCTCTCATCGAGAAGAGTTTTAATTAAAATTGCACTCCTTGCTGTTTGTCGGCAAAGCATGCTGGATGTGGGGTCTTCATGGTTCGGACTTCCGAAGGACAGCTCAGCACCGCTGGATATTTTCAGATTATTGGGGGATGATGCCCAGGCTGAAGGATGGAGTTTTCCCCCTTTGCAGGAAAAAAAAAAG